ACATCTGTTTTGTCTTTGACTCAGCACTTCTGATTTTCAACGAAAATCCCCTGGAATAAATAAAGGGATAACAAATAATTTTCTAATGTTAAACTAAATCTGATGGAAGGTGTGTGTATTTGGCTCTCTGAGATTAAATTATCCTCCTTTCATTATTTGTGTTAAAAATCTATTCAGAAGATTCAAATGTAATGTAATCTACTCAATATATTAATATACCTTCCTTTACAAGTCAGATTTAAGCAACTTGTGTCATCTTGTAGATTTTAACACAGACTACTTGGTATCTTACTGAACAGGTTTTAAGATTTTGTCTCTGAGTTCTAAACCATTTTATTCAGATTATATTTCTTTGGCTTTATAGCAATTGCATGTTATGCAATCAAGCTGTAGAGTTTACTTTCACTGAACTTTAAATATATGGATTTGGGGGATTCAGTTAAGACTTGTAATTTTAGTCTTTTTATTCTTCAATAAAGATTAATTTTCTGTTTCTTGGTTATTTTATGGGAAGTGGTTTGAAATACATCTTTTGAGCCATTTAGATTAATTGCAATTGTACATCTACAATAAGGATAGTTTAGCAACTGTGGGAAATGTTGCCACCGAAGATCTAGTGATAGCAATATTAGTTACCTAATATAGATAGATGCCTATGTTTTAAGAATCATGTTGATCATATCTGTTCTGAATACACTTACATGACACGATTCTTAAAATGTCTGGCAACTAGTTAATTATTTGCATTAGGATTCCCACTATTGGTGATATTGAACTAACGGTAACAAAAATATTGGCAAATGTTTGCAGAGGGCCTTAGTCTGTATTACAGGCAGTCCCCGGGTTACGTACAAGATAGGGACTGCAGGTTTGTTCTTAAGTTGAATCTGTATGTAAGTTGGAACTGGCGTCCAGATTCAGCCGCTGCTGAAACTGATTATTTGCATTAGGATTCCCACTATTGGTGATATTGAACTAACGGTAACAAAAATATTGGCAAATGTTTGCAGAGGGCCTTAGTCTGTATTACAGGCAGTCCCCGGGTTACGTACAAGATAGGGACTGCAGGTTTGTTCTTAAGTTGAATCTGTATGTAAGTTGGAACTGGCGTCCAGATTCAGCCGCTGCTGAAACTGACCAGCGCTGACTACAGGAAGCCCGAAGCAGAGTTGCTCTGCCCCGGGCTTCCTGGAATCAGCTGCTGATCAGTTTCAGCAGCAGCTGACTTGGGGGCGCCCGGG